AGTTGTGGAATGCGAAATCTACATTTCTAAAAGGTTTTAACCTCTCATTGTATCTTGTTTTAGCTAAATATGAACGTAGCTAATGCTGTTTTATATTTTCAACATCAGCTCACTATACGTCCCCATCGTAGGGGCTCGGAGCCTATCTTAAGTTAGGGGTGACTAGGCCATAGTAAATCACGCTAACCAAGATATGTGCAGGTTGCATAACTATGTTTTCCTTCACCGTAAGAACGTCGGATAAATGTACATATGCAAATCTGAAATCGAAACACACCTTGGTACATGGCGGGATTCGAACTCAGGACCTGCAGATTGCAAGTCAAGTGCTTGACCCCTGAGCCACTGACGCATATCCATATTTAACGAATTCATTTTAATTTATAAACATCGTGTCACGATGTATGTTTGCGATTAACTCCGAATCTACTGTTTCAATTCTTATCAAATTTTGTAAGCATCAGTAATTTGGTCCAATTTAAGAGGTAAGGTAGTTTTTATCTGAATTATAGATCTTTTATTTTTAACTCGGACAGAGTCGCGGGCGATAGCTAATGAGATATTATGTTTATTACAATACAAACAACAATTAACAAATGTAATATATGTATATTTAAACTTGCTGTGCCCGCGACTTCGTTCGCGTGATTGTCGTAACTTAAACCGTTTATGCAGCGCACGCAACGATAGTCCTCAAATGTGAATAATTTTACCCGTTTTTGCAACATTTCTCACTGACGCTTCGCTCCTATTGGTCGCAGCGTAATGTTATATAGCCTAAAGCCTTCCTCTATAAATGGAATTTTTCAAATCGGGCCAGTAGTTCCTGAGATTAGCGCGTTTAAACAAGCAAACAAACAAATAAACTCTTCCGCTTTATAATATTAGTATCACTCTCAGTAAATTAACACGAACTATATTAATACCGCGATTTTACACGTCACTATTTACTTTCTTTTTAATTAGTATTTCCGGATATTGTTCAAACAAACAATTTCCTTTTTATATCACAGTAATAGACTTTATAAGGTTTAAATATTAAATAACCTTTTGAGGCATTATTTAATTAACTTTGAATGAATTCTTTCGAGATTTATGGAACCGTTGTAAAGTAAATAACAGTTGAGTTGCGAATCTTATAAGATCAGCGCCTTCTTATCTTTGTCTGAATGAGCAATGATGCAATTTAAACATTATGACGATGTTGTTTAGGTTTAAAATGGAATGCGATGAATACAGAATTAAATAATGATTTACGAAAGATGGATCTAGATTAACGAAAATTATAAGTATTCTAGCTATCGCTCGCGACTACGTCCGCGTAGAATAAAAAAAAAACTTAATTCGTAGCCTGTGTGTTCTTCCAGACTATGTTCTACATATGTGCCAAATTTCCGCAATATCCATGAACCTTCAAATAAACATCCATCTAAACGTTCGCATTACGTTCGCATAGTTAGAATTTATTAACAACTTAACTTAAAGTAAGAAAACGTAATTAAGAATTACATCATAAAATTAAATTTAACAATAAACATCACGAGATAAAGAAGCATCTATTTAAAGTCATCTAAAAAGAGGAAAACATTCAAGAAAATATTCTGTTCATTTTACATCGAAAGATCGTTGACTCTTATAAACGGGGTAGTTTTAAAGTGAAAGTATGGAGGTATTTATAAAGTTACGCGGCTTAAAAGTGAGTTTCCACTGCCGTATAAAACATGTTGATATCTCTATCCTTTCAAAGAGAATGAAAGTGATGACAATACTTCTTTGCATATGTTCTTTATCAGTGGAAATCCACGGTTAAGGTTGAATGAACTTCGCGAGTTTTCGCATCTCACTGTAGGGATGATCCTCGTTTTTCCACAGACTATAAATATAACTACGTAATACAAGGTACGTTTGAAAAAAGTGTCAAAAAGACTCAGTTTTGTAGACTATGCAACACTATTTTTTCTTCTTTCTTATACACGCGAACGTGTACATGGATAGATGGATGGATGGATGTTTGTTAGAAGGTATCTACAAAACGGCTCAAGGGATTTAGATGAAATTTGTCCGAAATATAGAACATAGTCTGGAAGTATGCATTTTTTTGCATTCTTCCAGACTATGTTCAATGCAGTCCCCTGGGATAGGTGTGTTTTCTTTCCCTTAATTAGTACTGCATAGCAGTGAAAAACTAAACTTTTTTTCAATTCGAAAACGAACGAAATCGCGTACGACCATTCATTGTATTTCATCACTAACCGTGAGTTTCTGAGTCTAAAATCCAATTAAACATATTGTTACCTCTGTTTAGTCAAAGATAATGACAGGGATGACGATATGTTTGTACAGAGGTTTTACTCTCGGAAACTCGCGGTAAATAAATAGTTTATATCTCTGTCTTACTATCGTTTCATAAGATGTTAAACGATTTACGAGCAGCAATGACTCTCTCGCTAAATGTTCGACTCATTACACCCCTTGATAACTAAGACATCAAGATAATATTGTATAAAGGCAACGTTTATTGAAGTGTTGATTCGCTAAACTTTTTAATATTATTCTAAAGCTTTAGGTATTATAGAATTTTAGTTCGGCTGCTTACAAGGTGGTAAATAAATAAATCGGAAGGCTTGTACTTGTAACCGTGACTTTTAGTCATGTGTTTTGGCCGTTAAACAAAATACGGTAAGAAATACTTACCGTTAGTTTGTGAGTTCAAAATCTCTGTATGAAACAGATAACTATATGTTTCAAACATGAATTTAGGTCTCGGAAAACTACGGGAACTGCTCTCATACTACAGACGAGAGTTTAATCGATTATTACAAAAGACTTTGGTGTACATTATTATTAATCATTGCTAAGAGACTCTCTTAGTTGACAATTAACGTCTCTGAGTGTGTAAATTAGTATGTAATTAGTACTGACTTATATTATCTACGCAAACCATATCTCACCGAAATTTAGAACGTCTAGACTTCAGTCTGAATAAGCTCGCATACACCGTAGGAGCTTATCTCAAATAGCAATGTGTGGGAATTTAGCCGAGGCCGGTGTGGGGCCCGTGCCAAGCTATCGGGTGAGAACTTTGTAAATTGGCCGCACGGTACATTAAGCAGGGGTTGTAAGGTACATGATTGAGTACAGACGCGACAGCGGAAACGTTGTTTTATAATTACTTATTTAAGTTTTATTTTACGGGCGACAAAACAACGGATTGGTTTGTACTTAAAATTCATACACAATTAATTCTTAATTCATTATAATATTGTTGGAATTGTTTATCTTGACAGTATCTTTGCTTTTCAAAAGTATCGGGAAGACATGATGAAAAATTATGGTATTAGTTAACTATTTCATAATGTAAGAGGACAGGATAGTCCACCAATAATATCTCCTTAGTTACAGGCTCTAGATTAATAGACAAAAATAGCTTTACTTTGTTTTGTCCATATGCTGAGGTCGAATAAAAATAGTGGTGAAGACCTATTTCATATAAATTATCTCTACTCTTACGTTCATTTTTAACGTAATATTGATACGGAATTGCTTGATACATCGGAAAGATAATTTAAAAGTAACTAACAATTGAAAATGGTATATTATAATCGCTAGATCTTGTTAATGTAACAGTAGTCTGAAGAAAACAGCTGGCCTATCTGACTGTTGGCTACGCCTATTCCAGTTTTATTATCTTTGGACCTCATTTAATCCTGATGCATATGATAACATTTAACGCAGAGAACGTTAAAACACAATAGTTTTAGGAAGCTTTGTAAGTTTTTACCTCGATTTAACATACGTGGATAAAATATATAATATTTATATTTAGTTTTTTTCAACGTAACGATAATGGTAAGTAAATTCTCAACACATATTACTTTTACTTACGGTAATTACCTTATGAATGATGACTTTAATCCTCAAATCGTAGTTAGTAAAGAAACCAAAAATGAAATAACACTAGTATTTATTAAATGTTAGTTAAAAATTACTAGTACTCCTATAATCTACACATCTCTCTCGAGCCTCTGTCCAAGTGTCCGCCATTTTTCTGACGTTGACAGCCAATAAGCTGTCAAATTATCCCGCCTCAATCTGACAGCTGTGCGCTCAATGAGGTGCTTCGCGGTGAATTCAATTTCAATGTCATACGTGTTTAATAATAATAATTAACTAGCTGTCACCCGCGACTCCGTCCGCGTGATATTGAAAAAAAGCTTAATAAGTAGTCTATGTGTTCTTCTAGTCTATGTTTTAAATCTGTGCCTAATTTCAGTGAGATCTATTGAGCCGTTTAGCAAACAAAACTCCATCCATCCATCCATCTAAGATAAGATTTTTAAATACGATATTTAATTCATAAGTTGTATAAAATTAATAAAACATGACAAAAAAAACAATTTAGGGGATTTATTTCATTCCAAAAAATCTAGAAATTCCTTTATTAAACCAAATTAATATTCGAGTATCTAGTTATCCGAAATTATGAACGTAAGCGAATGCTCACATCACCTTTACACCTGTCATTTGCCATGTTACTGCGATGAATAAAATATGACGCAAACACATTTCCGATTTATGTTACATTGGATTTGATTTGATAAGAATAACCCGATTAAAAGTATGTTTATCGCCAAGAATATTTACGCAAAACTACCACTTTAAATTAAAAGTACTTCATCTTGATTTTTTCCAATTTACCGCCTAATTTTTCTTTTCTTAAAAACATTTAGCTGTAATGGACGTTTTAAACTTTTCGTTTCCATCACTAAAGAATGTACTGTGAGAATAGACTGAAAGGGGACATCTGAGGACTGCATATTGTAAAAGGCGAACAGTATAAGTTACAAGTCATTTGACTTAACTTCATTTGACGTTCGTCCTTTGACGTTCGTCATTTTTTGACTAAGATATCTCCGCTTCGTCTCCTATGTATCGAGTAGTAAAAATTATTTTGTTTTCAGTTGTAACAGTATGAAGGAGGTGGCGGAGTAACGGGCGGCATGGCGGGAATGCCCGGGCTGGGCAACAGCGTCGGGGCGGGAGAGCTGCGCGACAACACACCAGGTAACAACACAACACAACACAACACAACCACAACACACAAAAACATCTTTAGTTTGTAGTAAATACATATTACTTAAAGAGGTGGTTATGTACCTAGATTGACAGAAGATATATCGACTTGGAACAAGAGATCTGTTTGTGGTCGAACTTGCAGATATTACGGTTAGGTTGGTGGCACTTTCATCTCTTATAATTATAGAAAGCCAATAAACATTACCCTTATGTTAGTCGAGTGATTTCATTAATTATATTCTCTTTTACTTAATAAATACAAATATGAAATTTTATCCCTTACACGTGCGAGCTGTATTGAATAATTAAAATGTTTTCTCGCTGCATACTCGGAATATAATAAAGCGGATAATTTCGCGAATTCGTCCGTGCAAATGAATTTGTTTATTGAGCATGTGCGCATCGTATTACGTGGATTTCTCTCAATGTATTCCGAAATGTAGTGATATTATTTACATTTCAATGTCAAACGTATTGTTCGCTATTGAACACGGATTTATGAATATTTATTTTAAGTTTTTAAATATAATTGTGCCATGGTAAATATTACCATTACATTTAAAGGTTTTAATAAGCGATGCTGTAACACCGGCGCCATAAAATATATTTTTCTATTTCCTTACAGATGCTAGCAACAGGTCGTCTAGTAGTGGATCCAGACGAGGTTCTTCGCCGCAACGAGCTCTGGTAAAATAACTTCTTTGTTAGGCGACAACGAATTGCTGCATAATCAATAATGAGTTTTAAAGATATAGACGGACGCTGTAGCAATTTAGCAGTATTGCTACGTAGCGCTTTTCGTAGCACTCCGTTTGGACGCACCTTGTTCCTTTTGTTTGTATTGCTAAAACAAAGACGCGCTGCGCTACTCGCTCGTAAATGATAAATATTTTTTTATTTGCTCAGGAACAAGAAGTAGATGTATGCTGCCATCGGCCTGTTGGCAATACAACTAGACCTCGGCTCTCCAGCTACGACGCGGACTATCATGACAACAGCAAAGTCCCAACTATGGTTTGTATACTTTTTATAAGAAAAATTAACCCCAAGTAACATTAAGACAAATCGTGGCAAAACATACGACGAAATAACCAAAGCATTGTTTGTAACGAAACTTGGCTTTAATTGAATACTACCAACCGTCTCCAGGACCTTCATTAGGGTCAATTTAAACCCTAGTTTTTTTAAATGTTATCAACCATAATGTACTTTGGTATGTATAATTCGTCATAGCAATGCTGAAACATCTACTTATTCCAGGCATCACTGAGCGGCAGTAGTGTGGTGACGCACACAGCGCCCTCTTACGAGGAACAGCGCGCCAGTCCGGCACTTTTAAGTCGTAACACCAGTACACCGGGAGGCCGTAGTCTACTGCGAGATGACGGTTATTGCTCCGCCGGCAGTACACCGCGTGCTTTCGGTAAGTAACTGTCAATTGCTATTACCAAATCACTTTGCCTCAGTTATTTCAAGGAGAATGAGATATGCTCTACGCGATATTTACGCGTATATTACACGACTGGTTGTTTAGTAGAAAGGTACAGATTATGCCACAAAATCGCTAGATGGCGCTACTAACTTTGCGTATATGTTTTATTAACCTTTTATTAAACTCGCGACCTTTACGAGTGGTCAAACATTGCAAACACCAAATACCTTTTAATAGTTAGCGAGCTTTTTAACTCTATATTTAAAATACAATTTTATGCAAATGTTCTGTTCGCGACACCAGCGACGAATACTTTAATATCTTATTAGTTCTCATTTACGATTTAATTTAATACTTTCAGGTTTAAATTTTAATTATAAAATGCATTAAAATGTTTACAATATTTTTATGAACTTACTAGTTGTCGTCCGCGACTTCGTCTGCGCGGAGTTAAATACAAAGAAAATTAGTAGCCTATGTGTTCTTCTAGACTATGCACTATATGTATGCCAAATTTCATCGAGGTCCGTTCAGCCGTTGTAGAGATACCTTCAAACAAACATCCATCCATCTATCTAAAAACTCGCATCTAATATTCGCATTTATAATATAAATAAGAGGTAAGATAATTATTGAAATATTAAGGAACAATATAATACAGGTGGTCGGTATTAAAATGTAAACAGCTCTTAGAAAGTTGAAACAAAAGATGTGGAGAGGCAATAAGCCGGCCGCTTGGAGAGCACTACACGACTACTTTATTGCGTTAAACCTATTTTCCATTAAGCAAATAACCGCGTTTATCTGACCGAGCGAATCATTATACAGTATTGGCGTGTTCCATAGATGTGGCCGCGAATGCTATGAAACTACCGCGACTATTTGTACAGTGAAAAAGGGTATTAACACTTTCTCTACAACATCTATTTAATTTCTATCTTTTAACACAAATTTCGAGTTTCATTTGTTTTCATCAAATACATTTCAAGTAATTTCTATTGTTTAATTTTACTTTAATTCTTCTTAAACATTTTTATTTTTTCGTAACAATTTCTTGCCAGTTCATATGATTTTTGTTTACTAACTTTGATTACGGTCATATATCTAATCTATCTATATTTTTATGTTATTGATTTAATATTATTTATAATATAAGATAATTCGGAGAAAAGTATTTTATTATTCCAATCGTCCGTTCTTGCTCGTCAAAAGGTAATCATTAGAGCGGACTGGATTCCCTCGGGAAAACCTTTACTACTATATCCATGATTGAATTCTCTCTTATTTACTACAGTTCATTTGAATTCAAATCAACTGAATCGAAGTTTATTGTTCAATATTTAAAATTATACATACAATTATAAAGCTTAAAAAAAAATTTATTAACCTAAATTGATTTTATTATTGGTCGCATGTTTGAGTGTTCAAAAAGAAACACCCTTTATGTAAATTACTTATTAAAAGTGAATTAGCAATACACGTAAATGATAAAAGATTTGACAAAGTTCCTTACTTCGAAGTGTAAGGCTCTTTGCACACAAGGCTATGTCAGTAACTATTGTTCTATCCTTTCTTTGTGAGTATCGCGTTTTCGCGGACAGTACACTCATTGAATCGTCGACGTGAGTTATATATTCGGTCAGCACATAGCGACTATGCGACTGACACGAATTTATAAAATATTGGGCGACTTTTTCACGATGATCTTGACAAACATGAAGCGAGCGCCTTCGGCGATGAAAGATTAAAATGTCGGCGACGTGTGCCAGTGTATGACATTACTATGTGACTAAAATCGCCTAGCCTAATGTAGGAGAGGCCGTATTATTTAGAATACTGTTAAGTAAATAAAAAAAAAGTTTAAAACCGTAAAATATTGCATCTCGGCCACACAACGGATGCGATGCTAGGGATGCGAATCGAATGCTATGAACGTTCCATTTTTGAATTCCAATATAATCGGCATCCCGCATCTCGGTGCGAATTATTGAGGAATTTTTTCGCATCGGCATCCCATTATACGTTAATACGAACGGGGCGCTATTAAGAACTGAAAGGCATTCGCCTGAGACCGTCCTCGGTCAGGTGTTTATTGCTTTTTATATTCAGATATTAAAATCGTATTGGAATTAGTGCGGTGTAGAAATAAATTGGTACTTAGGTGAGTGGAAATTAAAACTGGGATAGATAAAAATTCATTGTTTTACTAATTTTACAATAATGAGGACGATGGTAGTAAGTTTTCATACATGTGTTTTTTATATTGGAAACCCACAATAAACTAAATGAGTTATTTTATTTATTTTCAGATCATAAATCGACAAAGGGATCCGTAGTAACGTTATCTTGTTACAAGAGTAAGTAGTACAACTAGTACATAAATATAATTTGCTTCGTTTTAAACTAAACTAAACTTCGTAACTATTTATAAAGACGTTTAAAATTATGGAAAGATCTATTTTTGGCTAATCGATTGGCCCGGATTGGCAGAATGGCACTTGATTGTAAATGGTCTGTCAAACTTCACAGTACATCACTTGTCAACTCAATCAATTTGACAGCAGTCGATACCTGAGTTTAATGCTTTAACTTGTTTAATAGTATTACTTTATGAGTTTATTTGTTACAAGCTTTTATATTTTTCTTCTTTATTAATAACATATACTTAAATTATATACTTATTTACAATATAATTCCGACTAATTCTATTCGCGACAACATCTGGTTATGCACACTTCCCGCGCTATTCTCTTCCTTATAACCTTCTTTTTTATAATGTAAAAGGCAAAGGCTCGGTATCCAGTATGCCACATCTTTGGCAAAAAAGTTTACTGGCACTTAACATATAGATTTGATCAAAAAAATATTTTTTTTTATCTTCTTTCTTTAAACTTGACTTTGTTGAATTCGATTTAATCTACATATTAGTTGTGCAAACTTAGATCAATCAAGTTAATTTCATATGCGAACTTTACGAAGCACTTAAACATAGATTAGAGTTAAGTGTTTGTTTTGCAGGAGAACCTAAAGTCCAGATAGAGGAGGAGGGCTATTACAACGAGGCGAAGAGGATTAGAGCCGACAGTATTAAACCGGGTAATTGCGTTTTAATCAACAAATTCATTGGATTATGTTCTTGATATTCTCAGATTGGAGCTCGAGTGGTCGTTTAATTTCATTGACCGATTTTATATGGAGTTAATTAAGGGATTGGTGAAGATAGATTTTGAGTGACCTTTTATAACAAATAATAAGACTAAGAAGTATTTATCTGAAAATTATTGACCGTAAACTTGAAACAAATGAAGATGCGTATGAAGAGTGTCATGTTAAGGATTTAACAGTCAATTGTTTATTTTTAATTAACTGTTGTTTACGTGGGTAAAATAAAATTGGTTCACATTCTGACAGAGGCGAGTGATGGACGAGAGACTTGGGGCACGGGAGCAGACTTCCTTCTATCTATCATAGGTTTCGCTGTTGACTTAGCCAATGTCTGGCGATTCCCTTACCTCTGCTATAGAAATGGTGGCGGTAAGTTTTCCTCTGAGTTTCTAATTATATTGGCGCAATAACAGAAATACCTTAGCTTTGATAAGACTGTTATCAAGTCTTTAATTAATTTTATACAATCCTAATAAAACTCTTTGGGTTTTTCACATTCTTACGTCGTTACACTTAGGTATTAATAATAATAGTGTTATGTGTCGATATAACTACATAATTAAGTATTAAAGTTTTTTGAGGTGTTTCTAATAGTATTGTGTTTTGTACAGGAGCATTTCTGATCCCCTACATGTTGATGCTCATCTTTGGTGCGGTTCCTCTCTTCTATATGGAACTCATACTCGGCCAATACAATCGACAAGGTCCGATCACACTATGGAAGATTTGTCCACTCTTCAAAGGTCTAGTGAAATTTACATTCCTAATCCTAAAAAATGTTGCACAGATTTTGTAAGTATTATTTTATTTTTCAGGTGTAGGGTTTTGCGCTGTTATGGTCGCTTTTTACGTGTCTTTCTACTACAACGTAATAATTGGTAAGTAGAAATCCGCTTATATTTCGGTTGGATGGAATAAACTGTTGCGCGCGCTTTCTATTATCCGCAGTGCCTCTCTTAGCTTTCATGTACTTATAGCTAACAACGAGCAACCATAAAGTTTGAATCTTAAAATTGTGGTCAGGTTGGGCGTTCTACTTCCTTGTGTCGTCAGCGACATCAGAGCTGCCGTGGTTACACTGCGACAACGCATGGAACACCGATCAATGTTGGGACGCTGCGAGGTCTAACACCACCAATCGTACCGACATCCCTTACCATGGACCACTGTCTCATTTCACACCGGCTTCTGAGTTTTTTCAGTAAGTTACGCTGACTAGGATAATGTCCGATTAATAGAGTCTCCATTTAGAAATAAAAGTGAAAGAATATGTTAATAGTTTCTTATATCGAAGAGATTGATAGATCGTAAAATATAAGAAATATTTTCTTTTGTAATTATTCAATTTCAAGTCCTCTCTTTAACTCCTGATACGATGATACAACGATACGTTACAAGTAAGTAAAATATAACTATTTGCATATAATCTTATTAACATTATCACAGTCGAGCGGTATTGGAGATGCAGCATTCAGAAGGGCTGAACGACTTAGGCCTGCCGAAGTGGCAGCTGGTCGCTTGCCTCGGTGTTGTCTACATCACATTATACCTTTCTCTATTCAAAGGCGTTAAAAGCTCTGGTAAGTTCCAAAGAAATTATTTATCATACTCAGCTCCAAGTAGTCACATACATAGTCAGCATACGGCCCCACTGAGGGGCTCAGAGCCTACCCTAAGTTAACGAAAAATACATTGGTACATGGCGGAATTCGAACCTAGGAGATTACAAGTCAAGTCCTTAAACTCTTTAGCCACCAACGTTCCCAAATATAAAAATAGATTAATTTTCCTTTGTTTTTAATACATTGACATGTTTTAGGCAAAGTGGTGTGGCTGACTGCGACAATGCCTTACGTGGTGTTGTCAATTCTGCTGGCCCGTGGACTGCTTCTGCCGGGAGCTGCTCGAGGCATCGCTTATTACTTGCAGCCGGAGCTCAGCAGGCTCAAAGATACGCAGGTGAGAGATGTATATCTATCGAGTTGTGACGTCATATTATTGCAATATCAAAGAGGGTAGCAGTTGACTCGAGCGGAAAAGTACTTTAACTACCAATAAATTCTAGCTTGATACGCGTTTTTGAGAAAAAGGGTCTTGACAGACAGACGGACGGACAACAAAGTGATCCTATAAGGGTTCTGTTTTTTTCCCATGTGGTACTGACCCCTAAAAATACATTTTTTATAAGGCCTTTGCTTGTCTCCATTCTATCCTTTTTTTCTTTACCTATGACACCTTGAGAATTGAAGTTAGGAAACTTTCTTCAATAGGAAATATAATATAAAATTTAATTTGTTTTTAACAGGTGTGGGTTGATGCAGCTGTCCAAATTTTCTACTCAGTAGGAGCGGGTTTTGGGGTCCATCTTTCTTACGCTAGCTACAACACATTCCACAACAATTGCTACAGGTATAAGTTTCTATTATTAATTACATTTCTTCACTGATAAAAGTTCGTAGTAAAAATATTTCTCTTTCCAGAGACTGCCTGGTAACAACTCTCGTCAATTGTTTCACTTCGTTCTTCTCTGGATTCGTCATCTTTACATACTTGGGATTTATGTCGTACAAGCAAGGGGTACCTATATCGTCTGTTGCTACTGAAGGTGGGTAGACCATAGACCATAGATCGACCACTACTTTTCACCTATCAATATCAATTAAACGTTTTGTTTTCTGACCCTTAGGACCTGGTTTGGTGTTCCAAGTGTACCCTGAAGCTGTTGCTACGTTACCCGGTGCTAGTTTATGGGCGATGCTGTTCTTTTTCATGCTGATAATGCTTGGACTTGATTCCGGGGTAATTACTAAGTATAAGCTCACTTTACTAAACTGTAGCTCTAAAAAGGGAAAAGCCTTTGTTTCTAAGATTCAAAAAGGAAACGGAAGAAAAAAAATTATAGTCTACTGCTTTATTTTGAGTGTTCGGTGCTCATGTTCATATCGCCAACAATTAATCTTTTATCTCTCTTTAATAATCAGATGGGCGGCCTGGAGTGTGTGATCACAGGACTGTTGGACCAGGCCCGCGCGTGCGGTGCCACACGGCTGAGACGCGAACATTTCACTCTCCTTGTCGTCTGCGTTTCTTTTTGTGTGGCATGCATCAATGTTACTCCCGTAAGTAACAAATACAGAATCACATAAAGGATATTCCAATATTGGACCAATGTCTAAATGATTGTGAAACGCAGTTTTTTGTCTTGCATACTTCTATATCGTTATTTCATGCAGCCTTTATTCAGTAGACCATCTGGTCGTTGTCAGTGATAAAATGATTGTTCTCCACAGGGTGGTATTTACATGTTTCATCTCCTGGACACCTATGCTGCGGGAATATCTCTACTGTGTTCTGCTCTATTTGAAGCGTTGGCGGTATCCTGGTTCTATGGTAAAACTGATCTATTGTCTATGATAGCTACAACCAATCTATTTTTAATTTATCCTAGTTGTTTTGTTACGATCATTGTACACTTATACTGAATTGACTATAAGTATTTGTCGTTATGTATTTGAAATTCCTTTATTACCTTTCTGAATCAGGTTTGGAGAGATTCTCTGATGATGTTGAAGAAATGCTTGGCTTCCGACCAGGAATCTATTGGAGAGTGTGCTGGAAATTTATCAGTCCGACATTCATTATTGTAAGTTTCATTATTTGTAAAATTCAAATGTTCATCATCATTAACACACTATGCGTCCCCACTGAGGGGCTCGGAGACCACCCTAAGTTAGGAGTGACTTGGCCATAGTCAACCACGCTGGACCAGTGCGGGTTGGTTGACTTTCCACATATCTTTGAAAATGTTAATTTACAATTAATAAATTCTTTTTCTATGTTGTCAGGGTGTGGTAGTATTCGGTCTTCTCTACCAGCAGCCGCTGCAGTACCAGACGTATATGTACCCACAGTGGGCGGTGGTCCTAGGCTGGGGACTCGCCTGCTCCTCCATTCTCATGATCCCGCTCGTCGCGCTCTACAAGATCGTCAGAACTCCCGGCACTTGTCGACAGGTATATTGTTAACCACTTTCTGACATACTTTTTCCCCTGGTTTTGATGTGCTGTTTTGTTCAGCGACCCTTTTTGTGGAAATTGGTCCAACGTATGCACGTGACATTTGACACAGTTAAATTTAATGTGGAGAATTGCTAAATATATCGACTAATGAGCGACCACTGGTTAATAGTTATTAATTCTTGCTTACTAATAGCTATTATTTTTATATTTTACAGCGTTTAGCTTGCTGCATATCACCAGAATCTGAACATGAAGCGATTCGAGGCGGAGCTCCTGTTAGCCGCTTTACTTGGCGACACTGGCTCTACGTATAAGAAGTCGCTAAAACCCTAGTTCCACTAATCGAGCCCTAAAGCGCGACTGCTATTACTTTGTATATGTGTTACTTCCACTGGGTCGATCTTGAGTTTTTATAAGAAGAGCAGTCGTAAAGCCAGACGCTTGTCTAGTCACTTAGTAAATATAGTATAGAGGGCGCAGTTGCTATCAAAGAAGTTTCCAGAAAAATTAATATAACCAATGTATAACTATTGATTTTTGTTTTCTCAATCTGCGGGATTAGAAAAGTGCATTCGCTTCGAAGCGATTCCATAGCGTACTTCAAAATTGTATGGAACGCGCGACAATCACGTGACTTATAGAAAGATATTGTCAGTTCTATACATTTTTAGAATCGCTTCGTATCGAATGCACTTTGTCTAGCCACCCTGATTTCAACTGCATCATACACGGCGATAATGATATAACGATGATATGATGTTAATTATAATTATTATTGTTAAAAAAAAAATTCTTTAGTTTAATAATTTAAGGTTAAGTCAGGACGTTGTTTAAATTAAGTCAAATTTCTGTAGATTTTATTAAGATAATCCTGAAAAATTAACAAAATCATGCTTCTCGATGAAATGCTAATGAAATTAAAAAGATAAATGCTTATATAACTATAAAATTAATATTATTCGCAAAGCTATCCTGCCAAAGAAATGACATTTTATGATATTAAACAAAAACATAGTTAAGGAACAAAATAACGGTACCATCAGTTTCTACTGCCACAGCCTGTAGAAAAAATATTGTTCTTTCTGGTTTTCGCTACGTCAGTGAAAACTGAAGGCTATAGATAATAATTGATAGATGTAGATTGTAGATGCTGATTGCATTTATTGTGAATGTTAGAAATATAGATTAAAAAATATATATTTTTGTTACTTTTCGTTGTAGTGTATTTATAGTGAAATAAATAATACAGCTTCTATTGAATGTTGCTTGAAAACAAAACTTATTTTTTTTTATGTTTTCAACGTATTTCAAAAAGGAAGAGGTTCGTCTGTATATTTTCTTTTGTTACTTCGTAACTCCGGTCCTGATTTTCTGTTGTTTTTAATTGTAAAAAGGTAAGTGATTATTAAACCATCAGATGTTTTAAAAAATTAGAGCTAATTATTTATTTATAACATTAATATCTTGAAATTTCTTATAATCATATGTATTAAAAAGTATTGTAGAAAATATCGTCCTTAAATGGACCAAACTCGCAAACAGATCTGTGACACAAACAATAATATTGTAAATAAATACGTATTTAATAATACATATTGACATATATCTATTATGTAGAATGAACATATATATTTTGTAGGAAAGCTTATATAAAGTAAATAGATGCTTGTGTCTATATGTCTAGTATATAAGAACAATAACCATTAGAAAAAGATTAATAGATATGGATAATTTCGTTGTCTATTTAACGTTTAAAGTAATATATAAATATAACGCATTTATTGATATTATTAGACGTTTCATTCTAGTAAACGCTTCAACGAGATCATAATATGCCGTGGAAATCTACCGTAACTTAAAACAAAACGTTAAACTCGTAATATGCTATCATTTATATTGGAATTATATTATATACTCATTTATTTATATTCTATGTAAAAAATATATCTTCTTTACATGCTCCGGGAGAGTTAAAACTGTATTTAAATATCTTGTATCGTGTTGTTGACAATTGTAAATAATGTATGTTCTGTCAAATATATCGAAATTTTATGTAAATTTTAACTTGAACTGTGTTCATTGATGTATAAATAAATGTATTAGTGAAATGTATCATTTCGTTTTATTACCATAACACTGGATAAATTATTTACGATGTTTCGCTTTACTTAAACTTTTGAATAAAACGTTCAATATTTCAAATCAGACAAGCAAAACATCCTAAATCGGAACCCTACTGGTGACTCAGGTAACAATGAATGCCTTATTTAAATATCTATTCATGACTAACTTTACGTGATCTAGTCAGTATATTATGTGTATCCTGAATGGTTAATTAAAACTACTAGAAGAACTACAAATTTGGTGTAAAAGACCGGAAAATAACATGTTAAAGAGCTTAAATAATAAATCGAAAAGTATGATCATTTTCGATAAAAAAATACGAAAAGAAAAATAAGTGTAAAAGTTCCCGCTTAAAGGTCGTCCCCAGAAGCCTAGAATATGTAGGTATTAATAGGTAAGTACATAATATAAAAGAAAATAAACCTTGTCATAATATCACTTAAATGGCCAACCATAAATGCTTAAATTCTTTAAATAGTTACAAATGTTACATTCAAAATTGTACTTACCTTTCTTAACCGGCGTGAATGAAAACTGTTCTTAATCAAGTAACTAGACGAAGTTGATTGTCCTCCTTAACGCGGATGCGGGTACACAAAAATGTCTTTTGATCTCCCGAGAGCCCAAACCCTAAACTTAAACTACTTAGCTACCATTTTGTAAAGTCAATCTCCTATCCTATTCGATGCGGTCTATTCGCATTTCTCTCACTCTTTCCTGAAACTTGTCATAAGGGTTAGAAAAAGAGGAAAAAACCGAAACGTTATCTGAGTGTATATTAAATTTTAAATTCTTTATTCGCATATTTTTGTATTTACAATTTATAAGTTCAACAATCGACATCATTTAACGGCAATTAATTAACGATCATTGCAATTTCTAAATGAAATCTTTACTCTAAAGTTAACCACAGAACCAAAGAACAAGTGAAACTGCGTTTAATGGAACGTCGTCCGCGCAATGGCAGACTTGTCATGTAGATTTCAATTCAACATTCAGTAATTTATTTGTAAGATAAAATAAACGCTTCATTTTAAGATTGTGCATAATAGTAACATCAATTACGGTATTAAATTAAAGTGGTTACTTGTTACCAAGTTTGTGATTTAATGTGGGCTAATAAAATACTGTAATTACATGAAAATACCGTACGTTATCATCGAATCGATATAGCGACGAAAGATTCGTAAATTGCCGTGAATTCATTATCGTTATGTCAACAAACTTATGAGATAGGTGGAGGTAACGATAATTAAGCATTTTCTAATAGTTTTGCTACTTACTATACACATGTAACTTCGTGAAACATATGTTTACGATATTTTCAAAGAAGTGAGTAGTGCGCGTAATAAAAACATTTTAATCAATTTGCTTTAGATTTAACTTCATATCATCTATTAGATTAAATATTAAATGAAGATGAGATTAATGTCTTTTTAAAATATTAATTTGTAGTATTAGCTGGCAAGAAATATGTAGTCCTACATTGAAATTTAATGGTCCAGGCACATTATTATCCTATTAAGATTGAGTCATACATTGTGAATCATTTTAATTTGCAAATTCAAATGCACTGCTACTATTGTATTAATTAAATGTAAATTGAACCTATGAAGATAGATTAAGACAATTTGTATTACCTTTTTATAAACTGAACAACTTTTATAAGATGTTTAATATTTGTAAAAATACCTGAATATTACAGTGAAGCATGTCATGTTTTTATGGTAATTGCTGTATTAATGAAAGTGAAATGTCTTGTTGATTTTCACTTATCAATATTAATAAACATTCTTGCATGTAGACATCAGTTTAAACACTGAGACTGCATATTTGATACTACAATTGTATTAAAAATATTCAACATTTTTTATAAATTAATTACTGGAACCCTGTAGCATGATGGTATAGTCAAGTCAAATACTAATATGTTGGTAATAAAAAATTACATATCAAGAAAATAAGTAAATTGTACAGTAGATATTTTTCTAATATAATTAATTGAAAAAATAATATTTGTAAGTGTTTATTGACACAATGAAAGCAGTTTTGAATTTCTTAAACTATTATTTGGAAATTATGATTTAGCCCATACATACTAGTTATTTAAATTGTTATTAAAATATTAATAATATTTTATTGCTTTATTATTTGTAGATTCCAGGTGTAATCATGTCTTTGGAGAGGGAATCTGTAGGGGTGATGCCCCAGGTCAACCTGGGGAGTGCCTCGGTGGACCCGAGGTCGCAACTCCTGCAAGAGATGAGAGAACAAAACTTTGATATGATAAGATTTGCATCATATAGAACAGCATGCAAACTAAGATATGTACAAAAGAAATGTAATTGTGAGTAACAATTTATAATAATATAGCAATCACCCACAACTCCATATGTGCAGAATTAAAAAAAACTTAATTAGTTAGCCTATGTGTTCTTCCAAACTATGTTCTATATGTATGTTAAATTTCATCAAGATCTAAGCCATTCTGGAGATACTTTTTAACAAACATTCATCCATCCATTCACACATCCAAACGTTTGCATTTATAATATTAGTAAGATAGCTTTTGCTTGCGAATTCATCCATGCTGAATTAAAAACAAAACTTGATTAGGAGCCTGTGTGTTCTTCCAGACTATGTTCTACATATATGCCAAATTTCAACAAGATCCATGCTGCCACTCCGGCTTTGTCTTCTAACAAACATCCATACATTCACATTTATAATATTACTTATATAATCTAATGATTGGTTTAACACATACAGATTTAAAAGATGTTTTGCAATTGACTTTATTAATAATTTTCCATTCCAGTACATGTCATAGATATATGGAATGTGATAGAAGCGTTCAGAGAGAATGCATTGAACACATTAGAGCCAAATGCATGTGTTAACGTAACAAGACTGGAGACTCTAGTATCGTCTTTGTATCATAACTTAAACAAAAGACTACCACCAGCACATCAAGTCTCAGTGGAAGCATGTTCTGCGTTGCTGCTAAATTGGTTACTATCGGCATATAGTACTGGGTAAGTTATCAAGACTAGAATGTTAGAGACACTTCCGGAACAATCTGTAATTTGTCAATTAATAAGAAAATAATTTTAAAAGCAATATGTTAAGTTTGGATGGCACATCAACTTAAGAGTTTGCTTTGTATTTGGGTACTAGCGGTTGCCCGTGA